TACCTCCAACTGCCCAGTAGCATCCTTCACGAGCCTCCTCCACAGAGGCCGATCTTGACACCGCTGGTACCAGTCATCGGCAAGTCCACTCAGCTCCACGTCCTCCTGTACCACATCACTCCGTCTCTTCTCTAGCCCGTGCCGCGCCCGCTTAGCCCCCTCAATCCGGCCAAAAAAAAGCTGTTTCGGCATGCGGTGGCTGGGCATGTGGGCTACATGACCCAGCCATCGCAGCCTTGCCCGCCGGAGGAGCTCACCGATGGGACCTTGCCCAGATCTTTCAAGGATTTGTGAGCTCCTCACACAATCCAGTCTGGTTAAACCCAGGATGGATCGTAGGCAGGCCAGCCTAAATGTTTCTAACCGGCGAAGATGTTCCATTAGGGGGGTCCACGTTTCGCAAGCGTAGAGAAGGGAGGGAATGACCGTGGCCGAGAAGACCTGAAACTTAGTGCGGAGCGACAGACCAGGTAGCTTCCACACAGCGTTACGCAACCGATGAAAAGATATTGCCGCTCGACTGATTCGGAGTGAGACCTCTGCTGTTAAACTGGAGCCAGTCATAAGCACACTGCCCAGGTATGGGAAACTCTCCACTCTCTCCACAACTGCCCCATCACCGATTGGGAGTTGTGGGGGTGGAGTGTCCGATGGTACAAAATACCCAGGCAGGTGCTTAGTTTTGGTGGGGCTGATGGTAAGGCCCCACCTCTTAGTGGCACGCTCCAGTCTCAGCAGCAGCGTCTCCAACTCCTCCTCTGACTGAGCAGCTATTACCAAATCATCAGCATACATAACGTGGTTGAGCAATAGGGAGCCATCCCTTGACCGCACCCCGGCATCGATCAGCCTCCCATTATATCTGTACCATATGGAGATTCCTCCGGTACAGCTATTGAAGGCTTCACGAACTACGTGGTCAAAATAGATGTTAAATAATGTGGGAGCCAGAGGACATCCCTGTCGCACCCCAAGGTGTACAGGGAATGGCTCTGACTCCCGGCCACGTAGTTTTACCCGGGCCCGCTCACCATCATGAAGGTCCTTAATGATCGTGAGCAGAGGGTCAGGTACTCCAAAAGCACGAAGAACGACCCAGAGCCCAGACCTACTGATGGTATCATAGGCCTTGACCAGGTCAATAAAGCAGAGATGTAGGTCTTGTTGGAATTCCCTACACCTCTGCTGTAGCAGACGGACAGAAAATATGGCATCTGTGCAGGACCGCCCTTTCCTGAAACCGCATTGGGGCTCCGCAAGCCTCTCCTCAGCGTGCCTGGCAAGGCGATGCTGAATAATCTTTGCCAGGACCTTTCCCGGCACACTGAGGAGTGAGATGCCCCTGTAGTTGTTACAGTCTGTGCGGTCCCCCTTCTTAAAGAGGGGGACCACCAGGGCATCCTTCCAATCCTGCGGAACCCGTCCAGTGGTACAGACTGTTGTTATGATGTCATATAGGGCAGTCTGTGCACAAACGCCACCCTCCCTCAGCATTTCGCTTGGGAGATCATCTCTGCCCGCTGCCTTTCCTGGTCTCAGACTCCGGATCGCCTTCAATACTTCCTCAGCAGATGGCACCTCAGCCAGCCACTCACAGGGGGTGACTTCTTCCAATATTTGAGGCACCGCAGCCTCAGCAGGGTCATCCTCACTTTGTGCCACGATGTTTTCCTGGCTGAGGGATTTTCCCTCCCCCAGGACCTCACAGAAATGCTCAGCAAATCTGCGAACCTGACACACACACACACTAACACACAAAGACAAAGACAAAGATCCCCCGTATAGCCTGAACAGACTGTAGGGGCAAGTGCTGTTAGCGAGCACCTATGAAGGCCGGAACGGTACACGAGGGGGTGGGTGGCCAGCACCACGCCCGACCGCCTTTGTCTCCCTAGTGACAATGTTTACACACCGCACCAGGTACTCATTTGAGGCTGAGTCGACCTAGGGGAGGCCCGGGACCGGTTCAGATAATCGTCACTGGTGTTGGCCGTGAGCGGGAATCGAACCCGGGTCGCCAGGTTCATAGCGCAGCGCGCTAACCGCTACACTATCGCTCCCCACTAACACACACACACACTAACACACACACACTGACACACACACACACACTAACACACACACACTGACACACACTAACACACCACACACACACTGACACACACTGACACACTGACACACACACTGACACACACACACACTAACACACACACACACTAACACACACACACACTAACACACACTGACACACACTGACACACAGGCAGGGGGTGTCCGTACTGGTGACGTCTTGCTCCACGAGGTCGCGCTGCGTCCGCAGGATGCGCCGTACGTCCACCGTCGCCACGCCCACATCCTCGCAGTCGCCCTCCTCCACCTCGTCGGCACCGTCGCCCGGCTCGCTCACCAGCGTGAACGCGATCCTGGCACGGGCAGACACCTCGTCATCCTCATCGTCACCAGCGTCATCGTCATCACCAGCGTCATCATCACCAGCGTCATCGTCACCAGCATCGTCGTCACCAGTGTCGTCATCACCAGTGTCGTCATCACCAGCGTCATCATCGCCAGCGTAGTCATCGCCAGCGTCATCACCAGCATCATCACCAGCGTCATCACCAGCGTCATCACCAGCGTCGTCATCACCAGCGTCATCACCAGCGTCGTCATCACCAGCGTCGTCATCACCAGTGTCGTCATCACCAGCATCGTCATCACCAGCGTCATCATCACCAGCGTCATCATCACCAGCGTCATCATCACCAGCGTCATCATCACCAGCGTCATCACCAGCGTCGTCACCAGCGTCGTCACCAGCGTCGTCGTCACCAGCGTCGTCATCACCAGCGTCGTCATCACCAGCGTCGTCATCACCAGCGTCGTCATCACCAGCGTCGTCATCACCAGCGTCGTCATCACCAGCATCATCACCAGCATCGTCATCACCAGCGTCGTCATCACCAGCGTTATCACCAGCGTCATCACCAGCGTCATCACCAGCGTCATCATCGCCAGCGTCATCATCGCCAGCGTCGTCATCACCAGCGTCATCATCACCGTCATCACCAGCGTCATCACCAGCGTCATCACCATCACCAGCGTCATCATCACCGTCATCACCAGCGTCATCACCAGCGTCATCACCATCACCAGCGTCGTCATCACCAGCGTCATCACCAGCATCATCACCAGCATCATCATCACCAGCATCATCATAATCACCGTCATCATCACCGTCATCATCACCGTCATCACCAGTGTCGTCAGCGTGAGCGACCCTGGCACAGCAGCCACCTCGTCATTGTCATCGTCGTCGTTAATCCTAGCGGTGGTGGTGGTAGTGGTGGTGGTGGTGATGGTGGTGGTGGTGGTTGTGGTGGTTGTGATGGTTGTGGTGGTTGTGGTGGTGGTGGTTGTGTTGGTTGTGATGGTTGTGATGGTTGTGGTAGTTGTGATGGTTGTGGTTGTGATGGTTGTGGTGGTGGTGGTTGTGGTGGTGGTGATGGTGGTGGTTGTGGTGGTTGTTGTGGTGGTGGTTGTTGTGGTGGTATTGGTTGTGGTGGTGGTGATGGTGGTGGTTGTGTTGGTTGTGGTGGTGGTTGTGCTTGTGATGGTTGTAATGGTGGTGGTTGTGGTGGTTGTGGTGGTGGTTGTGGTGATGGTGGTGGTTGTGGTGGTGGTTGTGATGGTTGTGGTGGTTGTGATGGTGGTGGTTGTGGTGGTTGTGGTGGTGGTTGTGATGGTTGTGGTGGTGGTGGTTGTAATGGTGGTGGTTGTGGTGGTGGTTGTGATGGTTGTGGTGGTTGTGGTGATGGTGGTGGTTGTGGTGGTTGTGGTGATGGTGATGATTGTGGTGATGGTGGTGATGGTGGTGGTTGTGATGGTGGTGGTGGTTGTGATGGTTGTGGTTGTGATGGTTGTGGTGGTGGTTGTAATGGTGGTGATGGTGGTGGTTGTGGTGGTTGTGGTTGTGATGGTGGTGGTTGTGGTGGTGGTTGTGATGGTTGTGGTGGTTATGGTGGTGGTTGTGGTGGTGATGGTTGTAATGGTGGTGGTTGTGATGGTTGTGGTGGTTGTGGTTGTGGTGGTGGTTGTGTTGCTTGTGATGGTTGTGATGGTGGTGGTGGTGGTTGTGGTTGTGTTGGTGGTTGTGGTGGTGGTGGTTGTATTGGTTGTGATGGTTGTGATGGTTGTGGTGGTTGTGGTGGTTGTAGTTGTGGTGGTGGTGGTTGTGATGGTGGTGGTGGTTGCGATGGTTGTAGTTGTGGTTGTGATGGTTGTGGTGGTGGTTGTGATGGTTGTAATGGTGGTGGTTGTGGTGGTTGTGGTGGTGGTTGTGATGGTTGTGGTGGTGGTGGTTGTATTGGTTGTGATGGTTGTGGTGGTTGTGGTGGTGGTTGTGGTTGTGGTGGTTGTGATGGTGGTGGTTGTGGTGGTGGTTGTGGTGGTTGTGATGGTGGTGGTTGTGGTTGTGATGGTGGTGGTGGATGTAGTTGTGGTTGTGGTGGTTGTGGTTGTTGTGGTTGTGGTTGTGGTTGTTGTGGTGGTTGTGATGGTGGTGGTGGTTGCGATGGTTGTGGTGGTGGTGGTTGTGGTGGTGGTGGTGGATGTAGCTCACTTCCCACCGCTGGGGTCTCCCTGGAGCAGCATACTCGCCAGGAAGTCTCGCCTCAGGCTGTTGTGCTCCCGGTCCACACGCACCTCTGACGGCACAACGCAGCACACCACAGCACACCACAACACATCACAACACATCACAACACACCGCAGAACATCACAACACATCACAGCACATCACAACACACCACAACACATCACAACACACCGTAGCACATCACAACACACCGCAGCACACCGCAGCACATCACAGCACACCGCAGCACATCGCAGCACAACACATCACAGCACATCACAACACACCGCAGCACATCACAGCACACCGCAGCACATCACAACACACCGCAGCACATCACATCACAGCACACCACAACACACCACAACACACCGCAGCACATCACAGCACAACACATCACAGCACATTACAACACACCACAGCACATCACAGCACATCACAACACACCGCAGCACATCACAACACGCCACACGGCACCGCAGCACACCACAACACATCGCAACACACCACAACACATCACAGCACACCACAACACACCACGCCACACAGCACAACACACCGCAGCACAACACACCACGCCACGCAGCACACCACAGCACACTGCAGCGCATCACAACACACCACAACACACCAGTGAGCGGGTGGGTGAACGGGTGAACGGGTGGATGGGTGGGTGAGCAGGTGAGTGGATGGGTGAGCGAGCGGGCGGGTGAGCGAGCGGGTGAGCGAGCGAGCGGGCGAGCGAGCGAGCGGGCGGGCGAGCGTCACCCTTGCTGAAGTTGAAGTGGATGTTGGTGCCGGGCGGGGGTTTGGGCAGGCTGTAGGGGGTCTCCTGTGACGAGCGGGTGAGCGAGCGGGTGAGTGGGTGGGTGAGCGAGCGGGTGAGCGAGCGGGTGAGCGAGCGGGTGAGCGAGCGGGTGAGTGGGTGGGTGAGCGAGCGGGTGAGCGAGCGGGTGAGCGAGCGGGTGAGTGGGTGGGTGAGCGAGCGGGTGAGCGGGCGGGTGAGCGGGCGGGTGAGCGGGCGGGTGAGCGGGTGAGCGAGCGGGTGAGCGAGCGGGTGAGCGAGCGGGTGAGTGGGCGAGCGTCACCCTTGCTGAAGTTGAAGTGTATGTCGGTGCCGGGCGGGGGTTTGGGCAGGCTGTAGGGGGTCTCCGTCTCCTCGGCGGGGAGCCCCAGGAAGCGGTACTCCACAAAGAGGCGGCGCACAGCCGGGTCCAGCGCCACGCGGGACGCCGGGTCCAGCCTCACCGACAGCACCTCCACTCGCACGCGCTCACACTCCTACACACACACACGCACGCACGTACACACACACACACACACGTACACACACACACGTATACACACACACACGTACACACACACACGTACACACACGTATACACACACACACGTACACACACACACACACGTACACACACACGTACACACGCACGTACACACACACACACGTACACACAGACACACACGTACACACACGTACAACAACAACAACCGCCATTCGCCACTAAGTGGCGGTGACGTCACCACGACGCTTGTGCCAGGACATGTGCACCTCGAGGCCACGTGAAGTGTCGAACGCCCGCTGGCAGGAGGTCACGGGTCAGACCCAGGTGCCACGGGTCGACTGACTGAGATGACTGGCTGATGCACCACCTGTGCCCCCTACTGTGCCAACCTGCTGTGCTTTAGCCACCCGGCGCTCCGCTCGTTGTTGTGAGCGTCGCTCCTCCGCCCTCCGTTGTTGTTGGAGGGCGACTGCCTCCAACTGCCCAGTAGCGTCCTTCACGAGCCTCCTCCACAGAGGCCGATCTTGACACCGCTGGTACCGGTCATCGGCAAGTCCACTCAGCTCCACGTCCTCCTGTACCACATCGCTCCGTCTCCTCTCTAGCCCGTGCCGCGCCCGTTTAGCCCCCTCGATCCGGCCGAACAAAAGCTGTTTCGGCATGCGGTGGCTGGGCATGCGGGCTACATGACCCAGCCAACGCAGCCTTGCCCGCCGGAGGAGCTCACCGATGATCTTTAAAGGATTTGTGAGCTCCTCACACAATCCAGTTTGGTTAAACCCAGGATGGATCGTAGGCAGGCCAGCCTAAATGTTTCTAACCGGCGAAGATGTTCCATTAGGGGGGTCCACGTTTTGCAAGCGTAGAGAAGGGAGGGAATGACTGTGGCCGAGAAGACCTGAAGCTTAGTGCGGAGCGACAGACCAGGTAGCTTCCACACAGTGTTACGCAACCGATGAAAAGATATTGCTGCTAGACTGATTCGGAGTGAGACCTCTGCTGTTAAACTGGAGCCAGTCATAAGCACACTGCTCAGGTATGAGAAACTCTCCACTCTCTCCACAACTGCCCCATCACCGATTGGGAGTTGTGGGGGTGGAGTGTCCAATGGTACAAAATACCCAGGCAGGTGCTTAGTTTTGGTGGGGCTGATGGTAAGGCCCCACCTCTTAGTGGCACGCTCCAGTCTCAGCAGCAGCGTCTCCAACTCCTCCTCTGACTGAGCAGCTATTACCAAATCATCGGCATACATAACGTGGTTGAGCAATAGGGAGCCATCCCTTGACCGCACCCGGGCATCGATCAGCCTCCCATTATATCTGTACCATATGGAGATTCCCCCGGTACAGCTATTGAAGGCTTCACGAACTACGTGGTCAAAATCGATGCTAAATAATGTGGGAGCCAGAGGATATCCCTGTCGCACCCCAAGGTGTACAGGGAATGGCTCTGACTCCCGGCCATGTAGTTTTACCCGGGCCCGCTCACCATCATGAAGGTCTTGAGTAGAGGGTCAGGTACTCCAAAAGCACGAAGAACAACCCATAGCCCGGGCCTACTGATGGTATCATAGGCCTTGACCAGGTCAATAAAGCAGAGATGTAGGTCTTGTTGGAATTTCCTACACCTCTGCTGTAGCAGACGGACAGAAAATATGGCATCTGTGCAGGACCGCCCTTTCCTGAAACCGCATTGGGGCTCCGCAAGCCTCTCCTCAGTGTGCCTGGCAAGGCGATGCTGAATAATCCTTGCCAGGACCTTTCCCGGCACACTGAGGAGTGAGATGCCCCTGTAGTTGTTACAGTCTGTGCGGTCCCCCTTCTTAAAAAGGGGGACCACCAGGGCATCCTTCCAATCCTGCGGAACCCGTCCAGTGGTCCAGACCATTGTTATGATGTCATATAGGGCAGTCTGTGCACAAACGCCACCCTCCCTCAGCATTTCGCTTGGGAGATCATTTCTGCCCACTGCCTTTCCAGGTCTCAGACTCCGGATCGCCTTCAGTACTTCCTCAACAGATGGCACCTCAGCCAGCCACTCAAAGGGGGTGACGTCTTCCAATATTTGAGGCACCGCAGCCTCAGCAGGGTCATCCTCACTTTGTGCCACGATGTTTTCCTGGCTGAGGGATTTTCCCTCCCCCAGGACCTCACAGAAATGCTCAGCAAATCTGCAAACCTGTTCCTGGGGGTCGGAGATTGGATCACCGTTTTTTCCCCTAATGATGGTAATAGGTGTGGCGCTGCAGGTTACCTTTTGATGGAGTTAAATAGAGATTTGTGATCAGGGGCCACTGAGGCAGACTCCATCTCCTCAGCAACCCACGACACCACCCATCCTTGCAGCGCCTCACGGCTCTCCGAACCTCCGAGCGAAGGCTGCGGTAAGCCTCCTCATTCTCTGACGTGGGATTCTGTAGCCGATGACAGTGGGCCTGTCGCTTTTTCTCAACCATCCTGAACACCTCCTCTGTCAGCCAGGGTCTCTGGGGAGGTCTGGACCGCGTACCCAAAGCAGCCATTGCAGCTGCATGAGTCACAGTCCTAAACCTCGACCATTTACCCTCGACATCAGGAGGAGTCGGGGACGATGCCAATCCCAGCCGCAAGCGATGATGAAATTCTCGCTTGCAACTTTCATCAGATAACTGAGACCAGGCCACTTTATGTTGGAATGGGGTCCTGGGTGTACACCCACCACCGGAGTGGAAGAATGGCAGGCGCATCTTACAGATGACTAGTCGATGGTCAGAGGGCAGATCAGCTCCACGGTAGGTCCTGGTGTCAAGGACATGGGCTCGCATTCGCAGGTCCGTCACTATGTAGTCCAGCAGATGTTCTTGCTTGGACCCGGCATGCATCCATGATGTTGTGTGGATGCGCCGATGCCGGAACAGCGTGTTGGTAATTACAAGCCCATGGGCTGCACAAAAATCTAGCAGCCTCCTACCGTTGTTATTGAGCTGATCTGGCCCATGCCCTCCAATCACTCCAGACCAGGTGCCAGTATCATGACCAACTCGGGCATTGAAGTCACCCAACATGATGACTCTATCCCGAGCGGCCACTTTAGCCAGCACCTGTGACAGGAGGTCATAGAAGGCATCTGACTCATCGGCTTTGCCTGCATCCCTCCACGGATGTTCATCTTCGGTGGGGGCATAAGTAAACATGGCCACCATTCCTCGCCTCCGGTTGATGGGAAGGCGAGCCCAAAGTAGCCTGGGGCTTACAGCTTCCCACACCTCACTGCCACGCTCCCACGCCCCCTTCATTCTTTTGTTCAAAAGAAGAGCCACACCCTGTTGTTTGGCAGTCTGCTGCCCCGAGTAGAGGACTGTCCACCCCTCATGGTGGCAGGAGCCAGAGCCGGTCCACCGGACCTCCTGAATGCCGCATAGATCCAGGCGGTACCGGTCCAGCTCCCGACAGAGGAGTGGCAGCCTCTCCTCCGCAGTGAGCGTTCGAACATTCCACGTGGCCACCCGTAGTGGTATACACACACACACACGTACACACACACACACACGTACACACACACACGTACACACACACACGTACACACACACACGTACACACACACACGTACACACACACACGTACACACACACACGTACACACACACACGTACACACACACACGTACACACACACACGTACACACACACACGTACACACACACACGTACACACACACAGAGTGGGAGGGGGATCACCTTGCACGGCGGGGTGTGGGGTGTGGACGTGACCACCTCGTCGCTGTCCGTCAGCAGCGACTCCTCACCCTCCTCCTCACCCTCCTCCTCACCCTCCTCCTCACCCTCCTCCTCACCCTCCTCCTCACCCTCCTCCTCGTCGTCTGCGGACACGCGGAGGGTGAGGGTTAGACTGCAGGGAGACGCGGAGACAGGGGGACACGGAGACAGGGAGACAGGGGGACACAAGGACAGGGAGACACGGGGACAGGGAGACACGGGGGCAGGGAGACAGGGGGACACGGGGACAGAGAGACACGGGGACAGGGAGACAGGGGGACACGGGGACAGAGAGACACGGGGACAGGGAGACACGGGGACAGGGAGACAAGGGGAGATGGGGGGACACGGGGGACACGGGGGACAGGGCTCCGCCCCACCTGAGCCAGGGAAGACGGCCTCTCCGCTGGATAGCACCAACTCACGGTCATCATCAGCACCCGCCTCCACCTCCTCCTCCACCTCCTCCTCCACCTCCTCCTCTATCTCAGAGTCGCCCTCTGCCTCTGCTGTGACCTCAGCAGACTGGAGATGCACACACAGAGATGTACACACAGAGATGTACACACACACAGAGAGATGTACACACACAGAGATGTACACACAGAGATGTACACACACACAGAGCTGTACACACACACAGAGATGTACACACATAGAGATGTACACTCACAGAGATGTACACACAGAGATGTACACACACAGAGATGTACACACAGAGATGTACACACACACAGAGCTGTACACACACACAGAGATGTACACACATAGAGATGTACACTCACAGAGATGTACACACACAGAGATGTACACACACAGAGATGTACATACAGAGATGTACACACACAGGATGTACACACACAGAGATGTACACACACAGAGATGTACACACAGAGATGTACACACACAGAGATGCACACACACACAGATGTACACACACACAGAGAAGCACACTGGGTGTAGCTCACCGGGTGTCTCTCACCGGGTGTCTCTCACCGGGTGTCTCTCACCGGGTGTAGCTCACCGGGTGTAGCTCACCGGGTGTCTCTCACCGGGTGTAGCTCACCGAGTGTAGCTCACCGGGTGTCTCTCACCGGGTGTAGCTCACCGGGTGTCTCTCACCGGGTGTCTCTCACCGGGTGTAGCTCACCGAGTGTCTCTCACCGGGTGTAGCTCACCGGGTGTAGCTCACCGGGTGTCTCTCACCGGGTGTAGCTCACCGGGTGTAGCTCACCGGGTGTCTCTCACCGGGTGTCTCTCACCGGGTGTAGCTCACCGAGTGTCTCTCACCGGGTGTAGCTCACCGGGTGTCTATCACCGGGTGTAGCTCACCGGGTGTCTCTCACCGGGTGTCTCTCACCGGGTGTAGCTCACCGGGTGTAGCTCACCGGGTGTCTCTCACCGGGTGTAGCTCACCGGGTGTCTCTCACCGGGTGTAGCTCACTGGGTGTCTCTCACCGGGTGTCTCTCACCGGGTGTAGCTCACCGAGTGTAGCTCACCGGGTGTAGCTCACTGGGTGTCTCTCACCGGGTGTCTCTCACCGGGTGTAGCTCACCGGGTGGTCTCTCACCGGGTGTAGCTCACCGGGTGTCTCTCACCGGGTGTCTCTCACCGGGTGTAGCTCACCGAGTGTAGCTTCACCGGGTGTAGCTCACTGGGTGTCTCTCACCGGGTGTCTCTCACCGGGTGTAGCTCACCGGGTGTAGCTCACCGGGTGTCTCTCACCGGGTGTCTCTCACCGGGTGTCTATCACCGGGTGTAGCTCACTGGGTGTCTCTCACCGGGTGTCTCTCACCGGGTGTCTCTCACCGGGTGTAGCTCACCGGGTGTCTCTCACCGGGTGTAGCTCACCGGGTGTAGCTCACCGGGTGTAGCTCACCGGGTGTCTCTCACCGGGTGTCTCTCCACCGGGTTGTCTCTCACCGGGTGTCTCTCACCGGGTGTCTCTCACCGGGTGTAGCTCACCGGGTGTCTCTCACCGGGTGTAGCTCACCGGGTGTAGCTCACCGGGTGTAGCTCACCGGGTGTAGCTCACCGGGTGTCTCTCACCGGGTGTCTATCACCGGGTGTAGCTCACTGGGTGTCTCTCACCGGGTGTCCTCTCACCGGGTGTCTCTCACCGGGTGTAGCTCACCGGGTGTCTCTCACCGGGTGTAGCTCACCGGGTGTAGCTCACCGGGTGTAGCTCACCGGGTGTAGCTCACCGGGTGTCTCTCACCGGGTTGTCTCTCACTGGGTGTCTCTCACCGGGTGTCTCTCACCGGGTGTCTCTTCACCGGGTGTAGCTCACGGGTGTCTCTCACCGGGTGTAGCTCACCGGGTGTAGCTCACCGGGTGTAGCTCACCGGGTGTAGCTCACCGGGTGTCTCTCACCGGGTGTCTCTCACCGGGTGTCTCTCACCGGGTGTCTCTCACCGGGTGTCTATCACCGGGTGTAGCTCACTGGGTGTCTCTCACCGGGTGTCTCTTACCGGGTGTCTCTCACCGGGTGTAGCTCCACCGGGTGTCTCTCACCGGGTGTCTCTCACCGGGTGTAGCTCACCGGGTGTAGCTCACCGGGTGTAGCTCACCGGGTGTCTCTTACCGGGTGTCTCTCACCGGGTGTAGCTCACCGGGTGTCTCTCACCGGGTGTCTCTCACCGGGTGTAGCTCACCGGGTGTAGCTCACCGGGTGTCTCTCACCGGGTGTCTCTCACCGGGTGTCTCTCACCGGGTGTCTCTCACCGGGTGTAGCTCACCGGGTGTCTCTCACCGGGTGTAGCTCACCGGGTGTAGCTCACCGGGTGTAGCTCACCGGGTGTAGCTCACCGGGTGTCTCTCACCGGGTGTCTCTCACCGGGTGTCTCTCACCGGGTGTCTCTCACCGGGTGTCTATCACCGGGTGTAGCTCACTGGGTGTCTCTCACCGGGTGTCTCTTACCGGGTGTCTCTCACCGGGTGTAGCTCACCGGGTGTCTCTCACCGGGTGTCTCTCACCGGGTGTAGCTCACCGGGTGTAGCTCACCGGGTGTAGCTCACCGGGTGTCTCTCACCGGGTGTCTATCACCGGGTGTAGCTCACCGGGTGTAGCTCACCGGGTGTCTCTCACCGGGTGTAGCTCACCGGGTGTCTCTCACCGGGTGTCTCTCACCGGGTGTCTCTCACCGGGTGTCTCTCACCGGGTGTAGCTCACCGGGTGTCTCTCACCGGGTGTCTCTCACCGGGTGTAGCTCACCGGGTGTCTCTCACCGGGTGTACCCCACAGACAACCAAGAGACCTTTGCCGGGCCGGCCAACGTGGGGAGGACGACGCCGGCTCCCGGTGCTGGCACCGGCGGCGCGGTCGGCAAAGTCTGAGACCGGAGGAGGAGGGGGAGGGAGGGGGGGGGGAGGGAGGGGGCGGGGGGAGGAGGGGGAGGAGGAGGAGCGGCAGGGGGAGGAGGAAGAGGTGGGGGAGGGAGGACGATGAAGTGGGGGAGGGAGAGGAGGAGGATGAGGAGCAGCAGGGGGAGTAGGAGAGGGATGGGGGGGGTCCGGGTTCCGGTTGACCCGGGGTGACGGTGGTGGGGAGTTTGTCATTGATGGGTGGCTGGGTGAGTGGCTGAGTGAGTGGCTGAGTGAGTGGCTGAGTGGCTGAGTGAGTGGCTGAGTGAGTGGCTGGGTGAGTGGCTGAGTGAGTGGCTGGGTGAGTGGCTGAGTGAGTGGCTTAGTGAGTGGCTGAGTGACTGACTGAGTGGCTGAGTGAGTGGCTGAGTGAGTGGCTGGGTGAGTGAGTGGCTGGGTGAGTGAGTGGCTGGGTGAGTGGCTGGGTGAGTGGCTGGGTGAGTGGCTGGGTGAGTGGCTGGGTGAGTGGCTGGGTGAGTGGCTGAGTGAGTGGCTGGGTGAGTGGCTGGGTGAGTGGCTGGGTGAGTGGCTGGGTGAGTGGCTGGGTGAGTGGCTGGGTGAGTGGCTGGGTGAGTGGCTGGGTGAGTGAGTGGCTGTGTGAGTGGCTGGGTGAGTGGCTGAGTGAGTGGCTGGGTGAGTGGCTGGGTGAGTGGCTGGGTGAGTGGCTGGGTGAGTGGCTAGGTGAGTGGCTGGGTGAGTGAGTGGCTGAGTCAGTGGCTGAGTGAGTGGCTGGGTGAGTGAGTGGCTGAGTGAGTGGCTGAGTGAGTGGCTGGGTGAGTGGCTGGGTGAGTGGCTGGGTGAGTGGCTGGGTGAGTGGCTGGGTGAGTGAGTGGCTGGGTGAGTGGCTGGGTGAGTGGCTGGGTGAGTGAGTGGCTGGGTGAGTGAGTGGCTGGGTGAGTGAGTGGCTGGGTGGGTGAGTGGCTGGGTGGGTGAGTGGCTGGGTGAGTGGCTGGGTGAGTGGCTGGGTGAGTGGCTGGGTGAGTGGCTGGGTGAGTGGCTGGGTGAGTGGCTGAGTGAGTGGCTGAGTGGCTGGGTGAGTGGCTGGGTGAGAGGCTGGGCGAGTGGCTGGGCGAGTGGCTGGGCGAGTGGCTGGGTGAGTGGCTGGGTGAGTGGCTGGGTGAGTGAGTGGCTGGGTGAGTGGCTGGGTGAGTGAGTGGCTGGGTGAGTGAGTGGCTGGGTGAGTGAGTGGCTGGGTGAGTGAGTGGCTGGGTGAGTGAGTGGCTGGGTGAGTGAGTGGCTGGGTGAGTGAGTGGCTGGGTGAGTGAGTGGCTGGGTGAGTGGCTGGGTGAGTGGCTGGGTGGGTGGCTGGGTGGGTGGCTGGGTGAGTGGCTGGGTGAGTGGCTGGGTGAGTGGCTGGGTGAGTGGCTGGGTGAGTGGCTGGGTGAGTGACTGGGTGAGTGACTGGGTGAGTGGCTGGGTGAGTGGCTGGGTGAGTGGCTGGGTGAGTGGCTGGGTGAGTGACTGGGTGAGTGGCTGGGTGAGTGGCTGGGTGAGTGGCTGGGTGAGTGGCTGGGTGAGTGACTCACCTCGCCCGTGCTGTCGGCGAAGGTGACTGACTTGCGGACGGGCTCGGTGATCCCCTCCACCGGTGACCCCTTCCCCCGGTCAGCTCGCTTGCCGCCCTGCCGGCAGCGCACACAGACAAAGGTCCCCCGTGTAGCCTCTAACAGGGCTGCAGGGGCAAGTGCTGTGAGTAGCAGCAGCAGTGCCCTATACAGTGAGGGAAAAAAGTATTTGATCCCCTGCTGATTTTGTATGTTTGCCCACTGACAAAGAAATGATCAGTCTATAATTTTAATGGTAGGTTTATTTGACCAGTGAGAGACAGAATAACAACAAAATCCAGAAAAACGCATGTCAAAAATGTCATACGTTGATTTGCATTTTAATGAGGGGAATAAGTATTTGACCCCCTCTCAATCAGAAAGATTTCTGGCTCCCAGGTGTCTTTTATACAGGTAA